ACCTTTTGAGATGAGTACTCCTCGTTAGTAGAGAATGAGTTACTTAGTAGCAATCTCCTTATCCCTTAAATATGCGCCCGCGTAGGTGTAGCTATTGGTCAAGCCATGCAAAAGCTAAGAGAATGACCTTACTCTAGGCAAGTGAGGATCCATCATCCGATAGGGGTTAATATCGGGATTCCATGTCTAGCTCTCATGGTCTATGTCGGTTAAGCTAACTCCCACAAAAGTAATGAATGTGCTAAGTTTTAAAAAAGAGTATGCTACTTAGGGTAGGTAGTGGACTGGGACACTATTTATCCATTGCATTAGGTAGGAATTCCGAAAGGGGAGTCTTAAATTAATTGAATGAACTAAGTCTCCTAAAAGAACGTACTACTTAGGGTAGGTAGTTAAATGGGACTCTATCTATCCATTGCACTAAATTTAGTAATAACGTAATAATCTGATTTGCAGCATATATGTAAGTAATTCTAGAAACCCTAGGTCTGTTCATAATAAGGTAATCAAGAAATTGACTAGATTTTTGGGACCTAATGGATGCAAGGAATCTGCTAATGAAATACCACATAATTTGTGATGAAACGAATTCCACAGAAAAATCTTTTGATTTCGGGGTTGGAACTGATGAAATCTTACTAAGTCTTGAAATAGGGTTCTTGACCTCTTTTCTCCTATAAAGCTTTAATTTCTCTAAGTTTGATTAATGATTTGACTTAGGTAAGTTCTAATTATATTTCTAGGATAAAACTAGCCAAAACCACGAAATTTAGGGTTAAAACGACGAGGTTTAGAAGTCTAACAAAATAGGAAAAGACTGAAATAGCCCTAACTTAAAGTTGTAGACGGGATGACCACGACCATCTTCATGGACTGTGAAAGGGACCACAGACCGTCAAGATTGTTCGTGATTTGGACATATATTGAAAAATCTAGGGGTCTGGACTGCGACCACTACCATGGATCGTGTGGAGGACCACGAACCATAAGGGTCCCATGGTCCTCACTTGGGCTGAGGTCTGGAGGCTTCAGGTTGGGAGTCTACTAGCTCCCACGGATCGTTTGATGAACCATGGACCATGAAAGAGTTTGCGGTCTTCACTTGGTGTGGGAGTCTGAAGGGTTGGACCATGGACCCTGAAAGTGTTTGCGGTCTTCACTTGGTGTGGGAGTCTAAGGGTTGGCCAAGGGAGGCCACTGTCTAATTCCCATGGGCCATCCCATGGTCCATGCGAAGGACCACATAGCGTGAAAGTGTTCGTGGTTTTCACTTAGACCTGGAAGGTCTAAAAGACAAGTTAGGGGATTTAGTGGTTCGACACCGCAGATGCCACCACGACCCGTGAAGGGTCCCATTGTCTAACGTCTAGATGTGACGTCCAAGTTTGGGCCACGAGCATGTCTACAGACTGTGGACCCTATCATTGTCCGTGAACCCTACTGTGGTTTCCTGCTTCAAGTAGATTCTACAATTCTTTTGTAGATCTGATTTTTGAGGTGTTACAATATGAGCTATAACATGGTATTCAGTTCTATCATAATGAAAGAAGGAAAATTTTATTTGCCAAGGTAGAACTCGTACACATCATGTCATATGATATAGTTGGATTTACTGGTTAGATCATATAAGACAACTCCTATGAGGACAAATAGTTTAGGATTAGAGATTGCTATGCATAAGTAACCTAATTGAGCTTCCACCTGAAAGACACTCAACGCTAAGTAAAAATCTCACACAATAGTAATTAATCATATTCATATTATCATTCATGGAAAAGTACAATTAAAATACTAATCCAAGCCAAAAACATCATAGAGTAGCTCCTTAGGCCATGCGTGAGAAAATCTTTCACCATCCATGACCTTTTCATAATAGTTTTATAAGGATCATAGTTATTAACTTCATACTAAAAATGTCCTACTACTAGTGGGTATAGTTTCAAGAGCATTATCCATAATCGTTAATGACATATCCGAATAGCATACTATTCAAGGCCTAATTTAGGGAAATAAGTTAAAAACATTGAGGGCCAATCTAGATGTCATATGACCAACATATAAATATCATTATCTATAAGCTTAATTAAGTCACACATTGCTTTAGTAAAAATATGCACGATTTCATAAAAATATATTCATAGATTCGAGCTTCTTCATAAATTCATAAGCAAGGGTCCATAGATCAATGCATGGGTTCACATGTAGTTAGTCCAGAAACATGTAGATAAGTCTAGATCATCAAAATAAGATCATAATCAAGCAATTGCATCTATAAAAATAGAACCCATGAGGAATTGAATGAAAACCTAATCATATTTCGGGCAATTGAATTGGAGAATTGAAGAAACTTTGGGGACTCAATGGGTGATTGGAACCCATTTGATGAACTCTCAAATACCTTGATTGAAGCCCTAATAAATGAACAACAAAGAAGATTTTATTTGTTGGAGAATCCTAGCTCGTCCTTCCTTAATCTAGAGAGAAGATTTTCGGAGAGAACCTTGGAGAGAATTTAAGAATTTCAAGGAATGAATAAGTTGGGGGGAAATTTCTAAGGGTAAGAGTATTTATAGGCTTTGATTTAGGGGTAAAACGACGTAGTATAGGTATTGATTACATAGGAAAAGACCCAAATACCCTTTAAGAATAACTGTCGGACTGATCTATGGGTGCCACCTATGAACCGTAGAATATTCGACGGCTTGTCATGGTGGTCCGTAGATAAAGTTATTGGAGGTCTAAATGTTTTTCACCTCAAATGATCTGTATCACCTTCTATGGGTCGTAGTCTCTAACTGTGGAATTCAGAGTAAATCAAAATTTTAATCAAGTGTGGAACTCATTCTACGACCACTTTATACGACTCGTCAAATAACCTACTCCTGTCCCTTTTTAGGTCAACCACTAGGTCTTGGCATTTCAAAATCTCAAACCCAAGTCTACAACTTCACTTCTTCGACCCGTAGGACTTCTTGTGACCCGTAGATAGGACTTATAGATCACCACAGTTCCCAAAAACTGGGCTTTCCCTTTTGAACATGAAGTTTCAAGGTATTATACTTTGAAAAGTAACAATCTAACAACATTATATGAATGCATATATAACTTAATTAAGTGGAGGATACATCATAGGAGATCTAATAAAATGTATTACTCATGATCTCCAAAAGAAGAGTGACATAAATGCTCTAAGTTCGTTCAAGTGATATTTTAACAAATATATTCACCAAGGCATTACCAAGTTTAACCTTTGAAAAGTTGAGATACAAAATTAGACTATGTCATCTTCAAGTTGTTAAGTGATGTCTTCATCAGAATGAGTAAATATACGCTACTGTTTTTTTTCTTAACCGGATTTTATCCAACTGGATTGTTATGATAAATACTATTAATAAGGTATCTGAAAAGCGTATTACTGCACCTTTTCTTTTACCAAAATATTTTTTTTACATAGGACATCCAAAGGGGAATATTGTGAAATGAATATACACATAAATATATTTTGTGGTAACATATATACACACACATTTACAAAGTATTGTAAAGTGGGTATTCTTATAATATATTTGGTGCTCAAGTATACATACGACAAATAGATATCTATGTAATATTATTGATGCCTAAGTATATATATGCTTATATATACCCCTCTTCTTGCAACAAAGTAAGAACCAAAGCAAGAATAAGTAAAACGGAAAAGAGCCTAAAATACCCTCGAAGTATTGAAAATGGTACACATTTACCCCGATCCACCTATTGGCCTCCAAATACCCTTCACATCCACCTTTGAGTCCAAATTTACCCTTTCATTAACGGACTAAAATTAAAAATAATTAAATAATATTTTTAATTACGTGACACTCAACCATTGGTTATAATTTAATTATTTAAAATAATTTTAAACCCACCCATTTTAACTACCCCCCCCCCCCCACTTGACCCAATTTTTAAAAAAATCATCTAATTAAAATATCCTAAAACCTTATTCCTCCAATTTTCACAACTTCCATCGACTCCATTGTCTTCTTCTTCTTCATCCTGCAACTTGGAGTCGATGGAAGTTGTGAAAATTGGACCATTAACCAGCAAGGGTACATGGTCAATTGTAAGTAAGTGTCACACTTGAAACCAATTTGGATAATGAAATCATTTATCATCGTCGACATGAGTTTTGCCCACATAGACCAAGTGACTCATCAGCTGTAATAGTGCTTGTACCTTAAACTTCTCAGGCAGTAAACAACCTAAAATTGAGAAGTTAATGTCTATCTGCTAGAACATGGTCAAGTTAGTCATTGAAGATTATGACACATTTTGGAAATCCGTTTTATCTTGTCACACACATATGGTGCCTATATTGTGAGGGAGAATTGTTTACAGCATATTGTAGAACAATTCTTGAAAATTTTGGTTGATTCTTTTTCTAAAGAACTTCAAAATGTCGATGAAGAAGAAGATGAAGACAATTGAGTCGATGGAAGTTGTGAAAATTGGAGGAATAAGGTTTTAAGATATTTTAATTAGATGATTTTTTTAAAATTGGGTCAAGTGGGGCGGGTTTAGTTAAAATGGGTGGGTAATGGGTGAGTTTAAAATTATTTTAAATAATTAAATTACAACCAATGATTGAGTGCCACGTAATTAAAAATTATTATTTAATTATTTTTAATTTTGGTCCGTTAATAAAGGGGTAAATTTGGACCCAAAGGTGGATATGAAGGGTATTTGGGGGCCAATAGGTGGATGAGGATAATTGTATACATTTTCAATACTTCAAAGGTATTTTAGGACTTTTTCCGTAAGTAAAAAGAAAAACATACAATAACAGAGAAAAACTACTAGTATCACTTTGTGCGTCTTATTTTCTTCTTGTCATTTTATTCTACTATAAATACTTTTTTTTTTATAATAATTATGACTTTTTATTTGATGGTCGTGGCATGATTTTAGATTTTACATATTAATTTTAAGAATATAGTAATAATAAATTGAGAGAGTACTAATTTATTTGTGTAACCAATATTTTTTGCGCATGAGGCGGGTTGTAATTAGCCTATATCAAAACTGAAAAGTGAAAACCAGCAGAGATTGTGATCCGGTGCGCCGTTTAGGCAGGCACTAAAAAGAGGCGAAAGTCGAAGCCACTAGCATTTAGTAGCCATTGAGTAGCCACTGAGTTGGAAATGGAGCTTCCTGTAATTGATCTGGCACCCTATCTGGAAATCTGTAGCGATGAGTTGGATTCCCATATTAAGAGTATGTGCTTGGAGGTGAGTCGAACCCTAAGAGAAACTGGAGCTTTATTGGTGAAGGATCCGAGGTGTACCGCTGAAGATAATGATAAGTTCATTGATATGATGGAAAAGTACTTCCAACAGCCTGAAGAATTTAAGCGCCTTCAGGAGCGCCCTCATCTACATTATCAGGTCATCCCCAACTTTTGTATTTCCAAAGCTTTTATCATTCACAAGTCTTGTTGATGATTTTCTCTCTCAACATCAAAGTCATTCAAATACTGATTAGTTTAGGCATTATATTTACTCCAATTTGAGTGTGTTGTCTTATCTGAGTTTGATCAGTTTGGTGTCCTCAGTACCTAGAAACGGATTAATTTCGGCATTAGCAAAGGCAATGAATCAAAACCCTAGCCTGAATTCCTTTTTCTAGATTTCTTATCATGTGAGGCTCCAGCTTACCTACTGTGCACTGGAAGAAATTAGGGTCATGGGTTTTATGATAAAGTAAAGACTTCTTCTTCTGTTTGACCACTTATGCTTTTATCAAGCTTGGCAAAAATAATGTGGCCAGTAAAAATAGCCTTTTGTTGGGTGAAATTATCTCATCTGACCGATTTGGTTTACTTACTATATTCTCCATTGTCTGCATATGTCAAACGACGAACTGGCAAGTGAAAATAGCTTTAAAAATGTCATTGAATCGTACAGTTTGTATTTTCTGCTGCTTGTACTGCATGTTTAGATAACAAAATTATTTTGCTTTAATTCTCCTTCTCATGGGTTTGCTGTCAATCATAGAGAAGTGATAGCTAGTTTTGTCGATTAATAACTAGAAAGATAGATGTACTCAATCGGCTCGATAAATTCCAAGTCTGCTCAAGTGCTCATTAAGCCTCTTTTTTGGAAAACTATTCATGTCAATGTCTGACAGGTCGGGGTGACACCTGAAGGAGTTGAAGTCCCACGTAGCCTGGTTGATGAGGAAATGAAAGAGAAGCTTAAAGCAATGCCTAAAGAAAATCAACCATCTAGTCCATCTGGACCAGACCCTAAATGGAGATACATGTGGAGAGTTGGTCCCCGTCCAAAGATTACCAGTTTTAAGGTTTCTCCTCTCATTTCCCCATTTCATTTATGTTATTCAAAGATGAGATATCAATGGTGACAATTAGTTCCATAAGACCTGAAAATTGCTGCTAGTAAGTAAAACAAGCATTATACACTTGCAGGAACTGAATTCAGAGCCAGTAATACCTGAGGGCTTTCCTGAATGGAAATGTACTATGGACTCATGGGGATATAAGATGATATCTGCTGTAGAGGTGGGTTACAACTTATAAGCATTTGCATCTTTTATTTATTATGCTACTGGTTTGAGAATTGTGGAATGTGACTGCTCGGTTTTTCAGTCTGTTGCAGAAATGGCTGCGATTGGTTTTGGTCTCTCAAAGGATGCATTTACTTCCTTAATGCAGCAGGTGCGTGTCGTTTCATGTCAGTGGAAAATTTTACAATTTGTGTCTCCAACTGATTGCTTTTTATCATCGAATTTGATGACTTAATTAATTAGTTATTCTTTGTCTGTTAAGATGCTGTTTTGTGCTGTAACTCAAGAACACCCCCTTCACCCCCAAAGGGAAGGCAGACAGATGTGAATTAGACTGAAATCATTGTCAATGAACAATGGATATGCCTAAGATTGTTTATGTTTGACTGATTCTTGTTGGTGTAAAATTGATATATATCTCTATTCCCCCCCCCCCCCCCTCCCATTTATATAGTTTGGAGAGGAAAATTGGGTGGGGTTGGAGATGGTCTGAAGTCACATAAAAGGTTCTCCTGGGAAGAAAAAGAGATCCCATCCACTCCACTGAACAACCAACGGGTAGTGGCTTCAGTTTCCTTGTCATAAAAAAGCTGCATCCCCTTTTCCAACCTTCCTCAAAATATGCTTGCTGACCAAATTTTTAACCTTACACGAGGCTTTCCAAGATTGTGATTTGACCAAAGGTCCATTTTGCATCAAAGTCATGATCCAATTTGCCTAAGCCACAATGATACCTATTCCCAATCTGTTTGGCGAACCCAAAATCAATAGAATCCCATTGTGATATGTAACAAACATGAATAAATGTTGAGACATTGAATCTCGTAAACAACAAGTTCTAGAATCAACAACGTGGAAAGACCGAAATACTTCTTGAACCTGGTAGTACAAGTCACGAGCTTCTATGAATAGTTTAGTATAAATGTGTCCAAAATGATACTGTCTGGACAATGATAAGAACATTGTATATAAATAAGGAAAGATTCCGAGGCACTGCAGACGGAATCAAGTAACTCACAACGTCAATGTCAATCAGTTATTTAACACTCCCAAGCTCGACTGTTTTGTAGCATCAGAGTCTCCACCAGTAGACAGGAATTTAGTGTGCTAGCCAGAAATTTTGTTTAGCACTTTGATTATATCTATGAGAATATTGATATCTTCTTCCTCCCAACATACAATGGAGATCCCAAGTATTCGATAGGAGAAAAAATGCGCTCAGTCCCTGTAGCTCTCAACCCTTGAGATTGCTTCAGGTTGAGCATTGGGTGCGGGTATAACACATTGATTTAAGTTTTTTGACCAACTTGCTGATACTTTCTCATATCCTGATAGAGCCTCCATCAGTAACTGAAGAGACTTTCTGCAGCTACTAGAAAAAAGAATAATATCATCAATAAAGACAAAGATTAATAAGGACCCATTCTTGTTCATTTGAAAATTTGTGAAATCAGTAAGAGTAGTTATGTTGTTTAAGTTCTTAGAAAAGGGGTGTGGAGGAATATAATGAAGGGATGGGGAGCCTTTTATTATACATTGCTGAAGTGGTGTGGAGATTTAGCACTAAAGGATGATTTTTCGATCTTGTATAGGGTAGGTATCTTGCAAAAAGGAATTGTCTGTTCAGCAAGTTAGGGGGACACAAGGGGTGGGGGTTTTTGGGGACTATAGAGATTCATGAGAGATTTCCAAGATTTGGAGGTGACCGAGTTTTAGAGATTGCTAGCTTTACTTCACAAGCAATGCGAGCTAGTCGGCAAACTCGATGCTTTGAGTTGGGAGTTAGAGACTAACACAATGTTTTGTGTTTACTCCTTCTACAAAAAGCTTTTGGTGAGAGTGGAGGATTGTCTTCATATGATTCAGCTTGGATTCCTAAGGTGTCGAGGTCGCTTCTTCACTTGGCTAGCTACTAGAGGGGTGATTTTGATGGCGAAGAATTTTAGGAAACAAAAAGTTGTCTACATAAGTTGGTGTTTTCTTTGTTAGGAGACATGTGAAGACTTATAATCACATTCTACTTCATTGCAAACTAGTCACGAGGTAATGGTGGGATAACTTTAGATGGTTTGGTCCATTAAAGAATCGATGTTCAACTATGGTAGGATATGAATAAGAACAAGAATAATATATACAATCCTACTTAGAATAGGAATATTTATAGATTTCTACTTGGAAAAGCATTATAATGTAGTTATCCTAGTTAGAAAAGGAGTCTAATATAGTGACTATAAATAGGCTATCAATGTAACAATGTAGATATATAGTTTAATAATATTTTTGTTTTATATTTTTCACATTGCATCAGAGCTTCTATAATCCTGATATATTAACAAAGAACTTCTGATGCCGGTGGGTGGCTGTGACTCGTATACGCCCACCGCCTAACTTATGGTTATGTAAACAAAAGTAGGACCAATGAAAACTCAGTCCGACATGTCACCACGCGTCAATTTCCGGCAACATTTTGGGACTTTTTGTGTCAACCCCATATCCATCAGTGTTTGTGTAGCACCGTGCCATCTTTTCTGTAACTACTTTTTCATAATTTATTGGCGTAATTTTGTGTATCTTTTCAGTGACTACTTTCTTATATCTAATTTGTGTTGCACCATGCCATCCTTCTGGTGAAAACTTCCTCATATATAATTTTTATAGCACTGTGCCATTCTTTTTTTTAGGATTAGTATTGTTATCTTCATCATTCCCAATAATGGCCACCATCAGAAACATATTACAAAACAAGTAGACTCTAGCTTTATAAAGCTCCTAGAAATTCTACAACTCCTCTATTTCCTCCATATAGTTCTGTTTATACCAAAAAAATAAAGTCACCAAAAAAATAAGTCACCAGAGAATTCCATTTCACATCATGGAATGATTTGATCGTCTTCAAAACAATTCCCATTTCTTTCCTCCAGATTGACCACCATATGCAAGAGGGTATTATCTTCCACCATTATTATGACTTTTGTGTCCCCCTCTTTTCATTTAACAACTCATTAGACCAGCTGTATGTTCATGCATTGTCTACACTGTCTTTGTGAGTCTGAAAAACACGCTCCACAATTGAGGAACAAGTAATTGTTTATCTCCCAGTCTCATTGCACAAAAAAACATCTAGCCACCACAACTATCCCCTTCTTTTGTAACACTTCATGAGTAAGAGGGCGCTTGGATGGGCTTACAGTTGGTCAAATTTACTTTTAAGTTAGTTTTTGACTTTTGGAAGTGTTTGACAAACATAAAAATAACTTAAAATAAGTCAAAATGACTTCGGATAAAAGATAGGAAGTGTTTGGCAAGGTTAAAAATAACTTAAAATAAGTTTAAATGAATTAAGGTAAGTTAAAACCAAAAGTAGGTCTCCCCCTATTCTTTATTTTGACTTAAAAGTCATTTAAGTTTGACTTTTTTTGACTTAAAAGCTAATTTTTTAAAGCCAATCCAAACGGGCTCTAAGACGTGCCTTTTTTACCACTAGCCATGTGAAGCACTTCAGTCTTATAGGGGCTATGTTCTTTCAGACACTTTTCCATATCTTTAGCTCTTCATCCTTCATAATGCTATTCTCCCTCTTGTATAACTTATTTACCATGAAACTTCCTTCTAAACTGTGTCTCGATCTAAGTCTATAAGGCTCCATTATTTTCCCACCAAAAGTTTCCACTTCTTTTGGCAAGTGAACTATTTCATTCTGTCTCCTAGTTATTTAAGTGCCTTCAAAAGTTAAGATCCCAACCCTGGGGGACCAACAATCAGACACAACAATTTCAGGGCTGCTAGATAATAACATGAGATCTGGAAATTTATCCTGCTGTGGTACTTCCCCTATCCAATTATCCTTCCAAAATCTAAAATTGTTATCATTGCCCACTTTGATTTTAGAGTACCCCTGAAGCTTTGACCATAGACCTCTGATAGCCCTCCATATTCCTGTCTGATAAGTGCAATTCAACTCTTGAGCACCAAGGACTGTTCTGTCCAAACTTCTGAATAGTTACTTCCTTACGGTGAGAATTTTCTTCATCACAGAATGTCAGAAGCCATTTCATCAAAAGGCAGCTGTTTTGAATTTCGGATTTCCAGATTCTTTATTCCTAATCTTCCTTGTCCTTTTCTTAATTGAGTGACCTCCCATTCCACTATATAATATCTCCCCCTCTCTTTGTTGCCTTTCCACAAAATTCTTCTTCTTAGTCTATCCAGCTTCTTCACGGACTAGGAAACAAAGTATTGTGGATGTGTTGGAAGCCGTTATATGAAAGTATTTCTGAAACTGCCATTAAATTAAGTATTTAATTTATATTTTTAGTAGTTTTATTTATTATTCTAGAATAGGGTTTATGTTACATAGCTTCATAAGGATTAGGTTATTATAGTTATTAGTTTGGAATAGGATTTAGGTTTCCCACTTCTATAAGAATTAGACATCCTATTGATGTATATGGCTCCTATTTAAAGGGTTTTTGAGGAATAAATCATTAAGTCATATTTTCCAGCAAAAAGCAAGAGATCTAAGTTTTCTCTTCCATAGAATTCTAAGGTTTCAGTCTCCCTTTGAAGAGCTGAAGTTATATACAAAATAGGTTGATCTAGGAATTCGAACAAAGGCAAGGGAAACTCGAAATCAATTGATTTAGATTTTCATGTTCATCGTCCTGTGACTTATTCAAGAACTATTTTCTAGCTTGAGAATTGACTATAGAAAACCAGAAGTCTACGGGGCAGAATCCAGTAGTGCGCTGATGACAGGTAGATCAACAATTCCAACTAATAAAGGCAATATAGTGCCTATTCAACTGGCTGGTCAGAATCATCAAACTTGTGGTAATTCCAATTTGACAATACCAAGGGACGCAAAGATAAATTTTCCTACCTAGGATGGCACCAGCGACCCATTAGTTTGGGCACATTGTTTTGAGCAATTTTTTGAAAATCAACATACAATAGATGCGGGAAAGGTTGGAGTGGCTGGGTTTCAACTGTTAAGTGAAGCACAATTATTATCAGCTTAAATGAGTGAAGGGCCCAATGAGTTAGGGACTTTCAGAAACGTGTTTCCAGTGAGTTGGATCTCCCGAAAGTAGCAATCTGGTGGGCGAATTGGTCACGCTTCGGAAAACTGGTACGGTTGAACTTTATAAACGTCAGTTTCAAGAAAGCTTGCTAGGGCTGACGAGAGCTTATTCCAGAGCACTTGCACATGGGATTATTTATGGCAGGTTTAGATGATTCAATCAGAACGGACGTGCAGTTGCTCAAACCACTTGACTTATCGATAGCAATGAGTGTATCTAGGGTTTTAGAGCGAAAACAACAACTGCAGAAAAGGCAGCAGTCCCGGACAAGTCTTGGCTCACAATAAACTTGGCAAAAAAATCTGCTACTAGTTTAGTTGATTCATTTACCTTGACTAATACCAAGACCAAAAACCAGACCCCTTTGGTCAAGCAATTAACTCGTGCAGAAATGGCAGAGAGAAGAGCTAAGGGATTATGCTAAAATTATGATGAACCATATTCAGCCATTCACCGGTGCGAATGACTTTTTCTGGCTGGAATTGGATGATTCAGCAGACTATATTCTGGAAGTTCTGGATGATTGCCATAAAAATTCGAGCTTGAGGACAACTCTTTCAACATGAGAGGGGGGTTAATGTTGTGGATGTGTTGGAAGCCATCAAATTAAGTATTTAATTTATATTTATAGTTGCTTTATTTATTATTCTACACTAGAGTTTTATGTTTCATAGCTTCACAAGAATTAGGTTATAAGTTATTGTTATTAGTTTGGAATAGGATTTATGTTTCTTACTTCTATAAGAATTTTATTTGAAGGGTTTTTGAGGAATAAATCATTAAGTCATATTTCAGCAAAAAGCAAGCGATCAAAGTTCTCTCTTCCATTGAAATCTAAGGTTTCAGTCTCCCACCTCATGGAATTCCATATGCTCAGTCAAGAAATTTTAGTGCTTTACGTATACCTCTTCAGCCGGGGTAATTTGAATATGAAGTGCCACATGATCAGAGCATGCATTGACAAGATGAGTTACAGACATTTACCGTACAATTCAAACCATTTTGAGTTATAAATCATCCTGTCAAGCCTCTTGCATATAGTATGAGGGGTCCCTCTTTTATTGCGCAAGGTAACCATATTTCCCAGAAAGCCAACATCCTACATACCAGTATCTCAAGTATTCCAGGAAATCAAAACTCTTGTCTATTCTGTAAGGATTTCCCCCTACTTTTTCTTCAGGATCAGTCATTGAAGTCACCAATCACAACCCAAGGTCCATTTAAAGTACTAGAGAATTTGATCAAATCTTCCCGCAGCTCCTTCCTCAAAAATAGTCCTACATTTAGCATAGATAGTAGAGAGGTGGACCTCAGTATTGGCAACTTCTTGATATACTTCCTTGATTGTAAGAACTATGAACATCAAAGTCATTGGACGAAATACCCCAAATTTTGTTATTTACAGCAGAGTAACTCAGTAACAGCCATTCACGCCAAGCTAATTGATTTACTGGTCCAAATATTTTGCCTTCATATTGAGTTCTTGCAAACAAATTAGGGTGAGTTAGTATTGATTTTTGAGAGTTTTTGAGTCTTTTGAATGCACTTTGAGTTCTAGTACTCCTTAAGTTCTATGAAAGGGCACACTGGAAACAATGTGAATTACAGATTTGTTTCTCTTCTTTGTGGATTTGACTCCTTGAAAAGTAGCCAATCCTTCTCAGCCCCCAGCTATGTAGGGGTAAAGTTTGCGTACAATTTAACCTCCCCAGACTCCACTTGTAGGATTTCATTGGATATGTTGTTGAGAACTAGACAGTCCCGATTGATTTCCATCCAGACCTCCAGGAAACAGGTAAATTTCATCAAATTAAAAGTTAATTATTTAATAAATTCCTGCCTTATATAGGGTGTAAAATTGATTGGTTCCTAGCTAATTGGGGATTTTCCCCTCAGATAGGAAAGCATGTACATTTTGAAATGAAACCTCCTCAACCTCTTGTTCATATTCAGATTCAAAATGAGGATAATCATCTGTCATAGTCATCAATTTGATAATTAGTCTCTACTGGGATATTGTCCATGACAATCAGTATATCATTACTCTTCTCCTAAGCCCCATCGCTTATATCTGAGAATCCAGGAGGCAGTTTCTCTGATCCTTGGTTTAATTATTTCCTTTTTTTAAGATCAAGAAGTGGCTTAATATTTCCAACTGGAATTTCTTGAGGTCTAACTAAAAAAAGCAAATTCCTGCAACTGTTCCGAATCTCTAATTCCTCTGTTAGGAGTTGCAGTTCTCTATATTTCAAATCCTTTGTCCCCTCACAATTGGTATAGGTATTTCTTTTGATACCTTCCTCACCTTTCTTTTTGTTCTTATCACAAGGAGGCCCAATCTTCTTGAAAAGAGTTCTTTTCTGGTCTCTGGATCTTCCTAGGAATAGGTTTGTCAGCCTGATTTTTGGAGATTCTGGATGAGTTTTTGGATAGTCTGCTTTTCGGCTGTTCCTCAACAAAATCCATATAACATCCTTCTTTTGAGATGATTACATGGATTTTGATCCTGCCTGAGTCTCCTTTAAATTTGTTTCAGTTTCCTGACTGATCTTTTGAGGAATATTGTCGCACTTGCAGCTTTGATCTGTTTAGAGCTATTTTATTGCTCCTTTTTTTTTCTTTCCTTTCCTTTTAACTACAGTTGCCCAACCCTTTTCTTCTTCCACTATCTCAGCTTTAGGGCTATAGCATTTAGATCTTTGAAGCTATCACACTTGATCTCCACCCGTGTTTCATTAGTTTTGGGGACTTTTGCAACACCATTGTTATTTTCCCCAGATCTAGTAACGATCTTTTTCCTCATTCAGGTTGGAGTATTCTACATGGCCCTGCACTTTGCTGTGACTACAGCATTCCAGTATCAATTCATATTCAACCTTCTGAACTATGATTTCCTTGTGTTCTGCTTCATTAGTGAGATCAATCAAAACTGCCTTGAGGTCTAGTTGAATCGATTTTAACCTTGATTTTAGCTGTAGGCCTAGTTTTGGACAAGTTTCTTTGTCGGTGATGATGAAAATGCCCATAGGTTCAAAAATTTGGCACAATGCATCCCATTGAAAGAAATTCCACCATAATTAGGGAGGTAATCCATAACGGTGCCAGTATTATTTCCTATTCTGATTTTTAGATCAGTAGTCCATTTGAGTTGCTTCATATTCATGCCACAAAGTAGATGGAGATTCCTTTTGTACATATTTCTATGATCTTCCTCCAGATCAAACAACACATTTTTCATATTATATGCACTAATCTTGACCTTACCCTTAAGAGGGGTTGATTTGAGGAAGTTGGCACAAATTTTTTAGATAGATAATCTGATTCGTTGAAATTTACCAATGCTTCAGACAACAGGTTTCAGCAAACATAGCACGTTTCTTTGGTGAAACTAACCGCAGGGGTTTCTCATCAGAGTAATCATACTTGGGGCAAACTTATTTCTTTGTAGCTTTGCCATTATTGCCTGGGCCACCAAGTACAGCTGTGAAAATTAAGGAGTTACCCCCAGCTAGAGGGTTCCTGAGAGCAGAAATTCTCCCTATTCAAGGAGTGATGGCTTTGTTAATGATTTCTCCTTGATGAATTAGCAGTAGAGAGGCTTGAAATTGGGGTTAGACCGGGTCTGGGGAGCTGGTGTGGAGGGCAGAGGTCTTTGCTGAACAAGTCGAGGGAGAGCAGTTTGCTTTCAAGATGACCGTTAGAACCTTTTGGGGAATTCTCGAGAAGGAAAAGGTAGAGAGAAGTGGGAGCTTCTCCCACTAGATTAGTTTGGAAGGTTGTTAAGATTCAAATTTGGCAATTGAATAATCGATGTCCTTATCTTGTCCTTAACTTCATGAACCAGATACACATACATGATTATTTTCCCATCCTTCGTCTCTGATAATCCTCTCTGTATAGTCTGGATCCTTGTTCTGAGTGATGAAATGGATCATAAAAATGGGACAACTCTTGGCGCCTTTCCTTGCGTTAAGAGTGAAATGTTGCTTAAAATGGTTTGGACAAGACTGAAAATTACAAGAAAACAGATTCCTTTGTTTTCTCAAAGGAAAATTTGATCGTCTCTCTCTATTGAATTAACATTGGTACTTGGACCCACCACCAATGTCAGGGGTGTATGAGCATAATATGTTCTGCGAGTTTAAAAATGTTTTCTAGAAATGTTATTCTTCTATCATTTTATGACTAATTCTAATTTCCAGAATTGATGTTTTTGCTCTATTACATCTCTTTATGACTGATTCTAGTTTCCAGGGACCACATCTGCTTGCTCCAACGGGAAGTGACCTGAGGCGTTATGGAAAAGAGGGAACAGTATTTGCAGGATACCACTATGACCTGAACTTCCTTACTATTCATGGGAGAAGTCGATTTCCTGGACTAAGTATTTGGCTTAGAAATGGGCAGAAAATGGAAGTGAAGGTTCCTGTTGGGTGCCTCCTTATTCAGGCAGGAAAGCAGGTATAAAGTATTTGATGCACTTCTTAATTTTCTTGACAGTACTAATGCATTTAACATTTAAATCTGCTAAGCTCCAGCAATCAACATCAACACGGTCTTAAGATGATAATGCAACCACTGTGCTCTCTTTCCTTGGCATGGTGAAATAGTAAACTGTGGTCCTATGTTTTTCCATTTTTATTGGAGAAAAGTAAAACAAATGTCATGTTTGATTGAGTATGTTCAATTTTATAAGAAAATTAGAGCTACTTGTTCTCGGTTCAATATTAGCTCTGTGATAGTAATGTTGAAATGCTAAATTTTCTAATCAAGATATATCTTAAAATATTCAATTTGCAAGATCTGTATCATAGATTGAAAGGTCAATTTGATTTATAAGTGTATCCCTATTTACCTCGCATATTGGTTGATGTTTCAGTTGCTACAATTTTTAATGTATTGTTCAATAATACTCAGATAGAATGGTTGACCGCTGGAGAATGCATGGCTGGCATGCATGAAGTTGTTGTAACTAATAGAACCACTGATGCGATTAAACGAGCTCTGGAGCAAAACTGCTGTCTGTGGAGAGTATCCTCAACGGTGCGTGAGGAAATTAGACTGAAATCTGTTTTTTTTTAAAAAAAATCTGGATCAATTTTTTTATTTTCGATTGCATAAGTTGCACTTGTTAAAATTGATACTAACTTGGATTCATTTTCTGTTTTACCTAGCTATTTGCGCACATAGCATCAGATGCAGTGCTAAAACCTTTAGGGCATTTTTCAGAAAGTTCTCTTGCAAGCAAGTATCCTCCCATTTGTGCCGGTGAATATGTTGAACAAGAGCTTGCTGTCATAAATCTTAAAGGTAATAAAGGAGCTTAATAATCCATATTTAAGATAGTCCGGTAATCTGGTGTTGCTATTCTTGTCAATTCCGGGCCAGTAAACAGTCACAAGAACCTTTGTATAGGAGTAAAGTATAACTATATCATCAATTCTCTATTTCTAACTTGTTCAACACTAAGGTGATTGGATAATGACTGCAAGATGGACTTGATTTGTTCTATCATTTGATTGGCTAAGAGATTAAATGCAAGTTTAGTAGCATTGGCTTTGCTTGATGTATTGACGGTTTGCATTTATTCAATTGAGTAGTCAGTTTCGTAGTATCTATTATGTTGCTGATGTTTTACGTATATTCAAACATTTGTGTTTGTGAATTGTGATAAGAGGGGCTCCAGTAACATAGACCAGAATTTGGGACCACCGTAAAGTCATATCTGTAGTATCTAAAAAACTTTAAACCACTTTAAACATGCTAGGTTTGAAGTTTTCTATGGCGGTAGTTCAAGTATATATGACTGAGTTAAGCCATTTTGCTTGAACATCATACATGTGGCTGAACTTAGTTGTTTTTTGCTTGAACTTCAACCAGAAATCAGGAATGATTGAGCTCCGGCCATATAAAATTTCAGACAAAATGTTTAAAGTTGTATTGAAGTTTTTTAGACATGTAAAAAAAATTCAATTTCTTTTAAAATCTAAAATAAATAAATAAATAAATAACTATAAAAAAAAAAGTTGGGTACATGTTATGTAGCATTGTTCAAATAGGGTACCCCACGAAAAAATTATATGATAGAGGTAGCAGAAATAGTCGATGTAAATATTATACATCTAAAACATACAAATTCATGCATTTAAAGTAGTATAACTTACATAAATCTCATAGTGTAAAGTTCTAGATTACGTTTCATCCTTATTCTTTTTCAATTTATTAAAATCTCTCAAAATTAGTGTTGTCCGAATATATAACAAAGAAGCACCCGAATATATAACAGAGAAGCCGGATACATTAAATCTGAAACATTTAAATAAAATTAGTTACACTTTTAAAGGAAAGAGAACATAAAATTGATGTGAGTTTTCCAAATCAGGCTAATCTAGTTAATTTCAATCTCTCCCAAAGATTAAAAGATTCAACCAAATCAAGATTTAAATTTTCTTCTCTCAATTGTCTTCCAAATCCGTCCAGATCCAATTCAAAATTTAAATTTTCTTCTCTCAATTCTATTCCAAATCCGTCTACCTTCAAACAATTCAAATTTTCTTCTTTCAATTCTCACCCAAATTGTAATAAGATTGAAAAAATTCGAAAACAGTAGTTGATTTTATTGGTATACGTATCTGCAAATTTGGATAATTAATACATTTTTCAATGGATGGCTCAGCTAATTATTGTTCATTGTTAGTTAAGCTTTCGTGTTATGGTATCCAGACTTCTGTTAAACGCTTATGCAAAGATGTTAAATTTCTCATATATTAGTGCCACTATATTTGGAAGGAAAAAATGAAAGGAATATTTAAAATTTAGGCAAGGTGTGAATTATACAGCGGAGGGGCGGTATCACTTGATTCTGCCTACTTGTTGGGCAAGGGAGTAGTCCAGTACCACACAACGTGTCTTTGGGACTGAACTGGGTTAGTTAAAAGATATGATATCTTCTTTTTGCAAATTTTCTTTAGATAATAACCTTGAGCTGCCCATGTTTGTGCTATTAAATTATTCAGATCACCAAAAAAATTGTTGTGCTATAGCTTACGAAAATCATCAAAATTGGGGGAATGCATGCTTCGAAGTTCGTTTGATCTTAAAAATGGGTCGCACTGGCCGTAAGGGAGAAACAGATGCATAGCCAAGGTGTTGACGGACGTCCACAAATATTTTGTCATTTTTACATTGGAATCCAGATTACCAAAAAAATTGTGTGTTATAGCACCCGAAAATTGACGAAAGAGGGGGTATGCGCGCTTTGTGGCTTGTTTGAACTTGAAAACGGGTCGGACTTGCCGTGAGATCCAACCGACTGCATAGTCAAGGTCATGAAGTACGTCCGCAAAACTTTTTGGCATTTTTGATGTCGTAATCCGGATCACCAAAAAACAGTTGTGCTATATCATACGAAAAATCATCGAAATGGGGGGTATGCGTGCTTCGGGCCTTGTTTGACCATGAAAATGGGTCAGACTGGCCATGAGGTCCAACCGGTTGCATAGACAAGGACTTGAAAGACGTCCAAAAAAACATTAAGCATTTCTGACATCAGAATCTGAATCGCCAAAAATATGTTGTGTTATCACACAAAAATCATCAAAATCGGGGCTGTGCATGCTTCGGGGATCGATTGACCTTTAAATTGGGTCGGAATGGTCGTGAGGGCCAACCAACTGCATAGCCAATGTCTTGAAGGATATCAAAAAAACATTTCAGCATTTTGGACGTCAAAATCCGGATCACTGAAAAAATTGTGTGCTATAGCATACGAAAATTGTCGAAATGGGGGCAATGCGTGCTATGAGGCCCGTTTGACCTTTAAAATGGGTCATACTAGCCGTGAGGGCCAACCGGCTACATAGTCAAAGTCATGACGGATGTACACAAAACTTTTCAGCATTTTCAATGTCGAAATCTGAATTATCAAAAAATTATGTGCTATAGCACACGCAAATCATCGAAATAGGGCGAATGCAAGTATCGAGGCCTGTTTGACCTTGATAACGGGTCATAATGGCCGTGACGACCAAAAAAATTTCAGCATTTTGCCCGTCAAAATCCGGATCACTGGAAAAATTCTATGCTATAGTACATGAAAATAGTCAAAATGGTGGAATGCGCTTTTCGAGGCCCGTTTGACCTTTAGAATGGGTCATACTGGCCGTGAGGGAAAACCAGCTGCATAGAAAAGTTTTTGACAGACATCCACAAAACATTTTGGCACTTTTAATATCAGAATCTGGATCACCAAAAAAATTGTGTGCTATAGCACACAAAAAATGTCAAATGAGGGGGAATGCACGCATCAAGACCCGTTTGACCTTGAAAATGGGTCATACTGGCCGTGAGGACCAACCGGCTGCATAGCCAAGGTATTGATGGACGTCCAGAAAATTTTTTGGCATTTTGACATCAAAATCCAGATCACTAAAAAAAAGTTGTGTTATAGAACATGAAAATCGTCGAAATAGGGGGTAGGTACGCTTCAGGCCTTATTGACATTTAATATGCATCGGGATAGCCGTGAGTGAAAACCAGCAGCAATTCGAAGGTCTTGATGGAAATTTACAAAAAATTTCAACATTTTTGACGTCCCTATCCGGATCACCAAAACATTATTTTGCTATAGCAGATGAAAATCATAGAAATGAGGGGCCTGCGAGCTTCGGGGCTTGTTTGACCTTAAAAAGGGTTTGAATCGCCGTGAGGGCCAACAGTTTCATGGACAAGGTCTTGATGAATGTCCACAAAAATGTTTGGCATTTCTTACGTTTGAATCCGTATAATCAAAAAATGGTGTGTCATTGCACACAAAAATCATACATAAGGGGGTATGTGCTCTATGGGGCTCATTTGACAAGGTCATGACAGACGTGCACAAAAAAATCAGCATTTTTAACTTTGAAATCCAGATCACCAATAAATTGGTGCTCTAAACCACACGAAAATCATCGAAATGGGGGGTATGCGTGCTTCGAGTCTCTTTTGACATTAAAAATGCGTAGTACTGTTGTGAAGGCCACTGGCTGCATAGTAAAGGTATTGACGGACGACCACAAGAAGGTTTCACATTTTTTAGTTTTGAATATGGATCACCAAAAAAATTGTGTGCTATAGAACACGAAAATCGTCGACATTGAGGGTATTTGTGCTTCGGAGCTTGTTTGACCTTGAAAATAGGTCGGATGCTGTGAGGGTCAACTAAATGCATAGCCAAGGTCTTGAAGGGCGTCAACAAATAATTTTTGCATTTTGGCGTGGGAATCCGGATAACTAAAAAAATTGTTTTCTATAGCACACGAAGATCGTCAAAATTGGGGGAATGTGCGTTTCGTGACTCGTTTGATCTTGAAAATTTGTCAAACTGGATGTGATAGCCAGCTGGATTCATAGTCAAGTATTGACCGATGTCTGTATAACATTTTTGAATTTTAGACGACGTAATTAGGATCACCATAAAAAAATGTGTGCTAGAGCACACGAAAATCGTTGAAATGAGAGTTACGCACGCTTCGGGGCTAGTTTGACATTTGTTATTTGTCAGACATGTCATGAGGGCCAACCGACTGCATATCCAAGGTCTTAAGGGACGTTTACAAAAAAAATTCAACATTTTTTACATCGGAATCACGATAACCACAAAATAGTGTGCTATAGTACACGAAAATCATCAAAATGGAGAATATGGACGGCTTGGGGCTCGTTTGAACTTCAAAATGGGTCGGACTAGTCTTGAGAGACAACCTGCTGCATGGCCAAGGTCATGGCGGACGTCCACGAAAAATGTAGGCATTTCTGACATCTAAATCCACATCGCAAAAAAAAGTGTGCTATAGCACATGAAAATCGTCGAAATAGGGGTATGCACGCTCCCGTGATAGTTTGACCTTGAAAATGGGTCGGACTTGCCGTGAGGGTCTATCGGCTTCATAGCCATGGTGTAGTTGGACTTCTACAATTTTTTTTGGCATTTTTGACATCAACATCTTAATTGCCCAAAATAATGGTGAGCTATAGCACATGAAAATAATCGAAAGGGGGGGGGGGTATGCGTGCTTCAGGCCTCATTTGACTTTGAAAATTCGAGGGCTGGTCGTGAGGGACAACCGGCTGCATAACCAATGTCTTGAAGGACGTCCAATTTTTTTTGCTATTTTGGACGTCAAAATCCAAATCACAAAAATATTGTATGCTATAGCACAAGAAAATTGTCGAAGTTGGGGCTATGCGCGCTTTGAAAATCGATTGACTTTGAAAACGGGTCAGATTGGCCGTGAGAGCCAACCGGCTGCATAGCCAATGTCTTGAAGGACGTCCACATTTTATGTTTTTTTGCATTTTGGACGTCAGAATCCAAATCACTGAAAAACTGTTGGCAATAGCACACAAAAATTGTCGAAATTAGGGTTATGCGCCCATTGAGGATTTATTGACCTTTAAAATGGGTGGGTTGGCTGTTAGGGCCAACCATATGCATAGCCGAGGTCTTGATGGACATTCACAAAAACTTTCGGCATTTTTTGACATCAAAATTTGGATCACCAAAAAAATTGTGTGCTATAGCACATGA